TTTATTCCATAGATTCTGGGGTTTGTAAATAAGACTAAGGACTACTGGAATAATATTCTACTAGAAGTCTCTTGGCAATTGGGTATGATCATACCAAGTGTGGGAAGACTTTTCACCATTGCATTTTCAGAAGCACTTTCAGCGAACAGGTGTTTCAGCAAAGGTATCATGCAAACAGAGTGCTAATGAATCTTTGCCATCCACTGCTTCCCACTTTATAGGGTGCACTACCTATTGGAAATGGACGGAAGTGGAGCAGCTCTGATGTGCTGACCTACTATAACTGGAAGAGGAACCCCTCTATTGCTGCAGACCTTGGTTATTGTGCAGCTTTGTCTCAGGCCGCAGGTAAGACAGGTAAAAGCCAGCTCTGACAAAACTCATCTTCTCACATCCAGTTTGACCTCTTGGACATGACTGGGATCTGGGAAATAGTGTGGACTTGTGCTCTGCCATCTTATTTCATGGTTCCTTTTTGTCTCCTCCCCTTGGAGATGCAACAGTGATTAGCATGAGGGATATCTAAATCCAGAGCAGAGATTGAATTGTCCTTTCTTTGCATTCACAGGTTCACCTGCCCCCATTCCTTTTACCTCTTATCTCTCTGTAGGATATCAGAAGTGGAAAGATTGCAATTGTGAAACACAGCCTCGCTATGTCTGCAAATTCAAGGGCTAGGGCAGTTCTAATTTCAACAGCTTGAACATATTCTAAAGCTCACATGAACAAGGGAGCTTGTATGAAGATTCACCCAGAAAGAGCAAGTTCTAACACACACACACACACACACACAGACACACACACACACACACACACCTAACCCTTCATCTTATCTCTACTGTTCTTCCACCAGTACATTTTCTGGGGACTGTAACCTAAAGATTCAGAACAACAATAAAACGTAGTCAATAATCTGTTCTTTTGTGCTCCATTTTTGCAGGAATGTTGTGTGACGTGTTGCAGGGTAGTTACACAAGGGAACTCTGGTAATCCCTACCTCCCAGTTCCAACCATTGTTCCTAAGAACCAATATCTAACTATGTGTCTGCTGGTATAATGCAATAAAAGTGTGGACATGGAAGGTGATGTTGTGAACAGATGAAGGCATTGTACTCCCTTCTCACTGACTGTCCATACATAATCTTCATGTTTGGATACATGGAGTCTGATGTTGTTTGAGTAGTCTACCTCAAATATCATCTTTGTAGGATAACTTTTAGCAAAATTCACTCTACCTTCAATAATCAAACTTTCATAGATTATGGTTTAAAAATATTACTTCCATGGACTTACCATAAGGGTGCAGGTAGAGAGTTCTGGACCTTCTTATTCCCTCATTTCCAATAAAATGTCAAAAATTTAAATGGAAAATTGATATCATGTTAAAAGTTAAGAGGAGAAGAAAAAAGAAGACAATAATTGACATTAGAAGGAAAGAAAGAACATGGGAAAGGAAGAGAAAAGATAAAAGAAAAGAAAAATGGGACATTGAAAAAGTTCACTAGAGAAAAAAACAGCAAAATATTGGTTTGTTTTCTTTAATGTTAAAGTCCACACATAGGCTAGAAAA